GCTCGACTGAGCCGCTCGGCCACGTTCGGGAGCTGTACGGGCTATAGTGAATAGCCCGTACAGCACCCCTTCGGTTCTACTGAACCGAAGGGGTCCTGGGGCCGAAGCTAGCCGAAGGATCGGCCTAAGCTATGGCTAGATCCTTCGGCAGCTTCGTGAATAGACCCCTATGTGACGTACAAAAGGCTTGCAGGTATCTATGAGACAATTGCTTTTTTATTTAATTTGCAGGAGGAATGAGTATTGTTTCAATGGGCTGTAAAGGTACCAACAAATGTGTCCATGTCTGTAGACATAAAGCAGCTAAAAGAAGCTGGGGAAATCAGCAGATGCAACAAAGCATACATGAAAAGGTAAAAACAATACATTTTATCAGTTGATATTGCTCCTCACTTGTTTGCTCTCTAAATATCAAAGTGGCAAAACTAATTTCTACCCCACAGACAAGATGCCAGATTAAGAATTATCAGGACACTAATATGTTTGGTAATAAATTGTCAAATATCGACCCAAAAGTGAATGGAGGAGAAACATCAAAAAAAAATTGCAGCAGGATCCCAAACTGTTTCATGTGTCCCTCAGCCAGTGGACTATACTGGGTGCATAGTTTACACCTTCCCCCGTCTTGTCAGAGAAGAGAGAATGTTAATGCAGATACCAAGGACAACTTGGAAAGTCTCTAAGAGCAACAGAAAGCTTTATAGTTTCATGCTCTCTTTTTTCCTTAAGATATCCCTAAATGGTCTAATCCTCATGCTAGATATCTGGTAAGACTGAGATGTTCAAAGTTACCCATAGGCTTTAATTCTACAAAAAGATGCTGCACACAAAACTTAAAGCCAGACACCACATTTCCAAACAAGAGCAGCAACTGAGCCACAAATGTAGTTAGTGGAAGGCAAAAGTGGCAGTGGATCAGGTTTCAGCAAACACACAGGGCATTAGAATGAAAAAAAGTAACTATGGTATGCTTGCATAAGCGTGATATTTTAAATCAAACTGTATTATTTTATGTAGGTTTTGCTAGAATTGTTCAAGTCTTGTGTAATATACATATGAGCATGGCATGGTAAATATATTTTAACAAAAAAGAAAATATACCCTCAAAGTGATATAGTTTCTTTGCATTCTGTACCTCCCCCAAAGGTTTCATACAGTTACCTCTCAAATATTATGTGATGCCTTGTTGTGCCTTCTAACATGATTACACTTTGCCCTGCATGGCTTAACAGTTTTCATAGCTTCTTATGCATATCCAAAACTTTGGTCTTTTTCATATTCTGCTTTACTGCCTACATTAAACCTACTATTTGTTTTACAAACTTAAGTAAGTAAGGGAATAAAGGATTCTGAATGCACAGTAGCAGAATTATGTATATCTTGTCACAATAAAGCTTCATGGGATTGAATCTCCTATAAACACTGATAAGATAACTTCACCCACTGCCTTCTTACTGTGCAGAATGAATCCACATGTATGTCTGTTTTGCCAAATAATTTATTCTTAGGAGAGATGCAACCAAAAAGCATGTACGGATTTCTTTAGGAATATTGATAAAAGACTGTGTTAGGCCATATTAATATGGGAAACAGAAGCTCAGGCTGAAGAGGTTGAGTTGGAAGGATGACAGCCCAAGGCTGATAGACAGGAGGCTAGAAACATGGCTACAGCACTGCAGAAATGAGAAAACAAATGCTTATCACCCCCAAGGCATTACTGCACCCATGGTCCCTTAATGCTGAAACCGAACTGGTTGAGAACATCTATCGAAAAATCTGTGACACAGCTGCTACCACATTTTCTGTTTCTGAGTAGGGCAAATGCCACATCAAGCTTCTTAATGAACTTGACATAAAAATATGTAATGTGAGATAATTGCTGAGAAAGAAATTAAAATTAAACATATAGCAGGACACTTCGCTTCATGTGAATGACGCAGCAATACAAACATAACATAATGTATTAGAAACAACATAGCAAGTGAAATGTTCAGTGAAGGTCATGTAAAAATATAACGGATGAGAGGTTATATAATTTGAAACCAAAGGAAAAATGTTAAAGTGTATGTAAATTCTAACAATTAACTTTTCCTGTTTGTTCCTTTTGGTCTGTTAAATGTACCATTGAACTTGTTTTGGTATTTGTTTGATAAGGACAAAGAAATACCTGTTGATTCTGCCAGAAATCCAGTGCTGTCCTGTGTCCTGCACACTCTGCAATTTCAAACAATGTTATCAGCCCTGCCCAGGTTACCCCTTTCTGTCCTAGGGTGGCAATGCTACTCCTCCATAAATACAGTACAGTGAGTGAGTATTGTTACCCTAGGACAGAAAATGTGTTAGGGTAGCTATGTCAAAATAAAGGAAAAAAGCATGAAAAAAGGAAAGTAATGCAGCCACCACATGCAAGAACTGATAAGCTGTAATATATACAATTGTTGCTCCTGGGTTTAGATAAACTTCAACAGGCATTTTTAGAAAGCAGTGAATGTGATATTTGCTATATATTAACTGATTATGAATAATGTACTGTATATTAAAACACATTTTCCAGGTAGATTTACCTTCTGTAAATGTTTGGTGAATGTCACAACAAGTATTCCTGGGCACATCTCTAGCTATAACATATTCCACCAAGTTAGTCATGGATATTTTCAGAAAAGTTGAAATATAAGAAATATGTTTTTATTCTCAAACTTAAAAAATTAGTGGAATCTTTCTGAAACACTTACAGGGCTATTAACTAAAGGGTGAAGAGTTTGGAGAAGACAGGAGAAGTGAACGATCTAGGCCAAAATAGCTGATTTGGAAAAATTCTCCAATTCAGCTTACTTTTCAGTTCAGCTATGTTGTCCTAGATTGTTCACTTCTCCTGCCTTCTCCAAACTCCTCACCCTTTTGTGAATAACCCTGTCAGTACCCTTAGTCTAGCACACTGTTATGTCCTTTGTTGTTTGAATGGATAGTTCCTTTTTCTTTAAGACTAATTTTAACATATGTCCACCTAAAATTAGTATTGAGTCCTTGATGGTGAGTAATCTGTGAATGTGGTTTTGCATTTTAGAAGAACCCGAGTATTACATTGGCATGGATCCCCAATCAGATATCAGCTATTCTGCTATTTATTTTCAGCTTCGGTGGCTAACAATGGCATCTGCTGACTGACTGACTGATCTTAAGTTCATGAGAAAAACCAGCACATTTACTAGAGTGGAAAGTCATTTGGCTCTACCAAAACAACTGTGTTGGGTTCCTTTTTTGCCAGCTGAAGAACACCTTGACATATTGAGCCAGCAGCAGAAGACATGGATGATTAATTTAAATGAAGTGATACCTGTAAAAGTCAGTAAATACTACCCTTCCTGTACTGTCAAACTCCCCTCTAATGTTGAGAATTCTTTTGCCAATATTTGCACAGACACAGACACTTCCAAGAGTGTGTTGATCCTTTGGGTTCTCCTGGGTAGAGGTCAGAGGGAAAAACCAGTGAAGGCTGCAGGGAGTCCAGGAGATTGACACTTCCATAAGTGTTGGTGACAGTGTGGCCTTCATTACTTAAGATAAGTGAGGAGTTCGGCAGTGCAGACAGCAGGAAATGTAAGTATTTACTGAGTTCTGTTTTCTGGTTAAGCTCTTCGCCTGAGCAACATTGCGGTTTCAAATCTCTCCCTCCCCCATTTAAAATGAATTCATTATTTTGATGGTCATGTTAATAATACACAACATATAGCTAAAGCCTTTTTTAGATAGAGTAGGTTAAGGTAATTAATTTCCATGTATGTCCCATTGGGAATATTTTTTTACTTTAGTTCCCACCCCAGAAACATGAAAGGAAAATAAAGAGTGAGGAAACTCACTTTTAGACAGCTGTCACCAATGGAAACCTTTATCTTAACCTGTTCTGATGACAAGTTTAAAAGTTTGGATTTCCCATCACTTTGGATCAAAGAGAAAAATAAAAACCTGATAGAGGTTCTCATTGCTCTCTACTCTATTAAACAAAATGTTTTGACTTTAGAAATACTTTAATTTGCGGAATGCGTATGCAACAATGTACCTTACCGCCCTAACATGTTTATGATATAAACTCTTTGATTCTTCTTTAAACAAGGTTTTAGCATTTTTTTTTAACTAAAGTTACCCCCAGACATGAGATGACAGTCACCTGAAACAGACATTTTTAGCAAGGTAACATGACAATCTCATGTCAATAGAAACACCTAGACCCAATCCGTAGGCTGTTTTTTTTTTAGAAGAAACAACTAATTGGGCTGATCTGTTAGGTCCCCTAAAATAAGCTATTTCACCAGCAAATAGCAGTGATTTTAATATCCTGCCCCCTCCATTCATATTGCAAAAGACATTCAGCAAAAAATAATGTTCTTGTATGTTCAAGAATGTTTTGGACCCTCCTAGAGAATACTGGTGCCTTACGGCGATAAAATAGTGCATGCATGTCCAACTGATGTTGGATGGCAATGATTTCTTAAGGTATGCTGATGATGCTAATAATTTCAATAAGATATATGCAGATTCCTCTTAACAAAAACCCTGCTATAGCCAATACCTTTTTTGACATTCCTTGCAGTCCTCAGTTTGTTACTTCATATTCTTTTTCCCTGACTATAATGCAACATCAAATAAATGATTTCTCCATCATATACTGTCATGTACAAAAGTTTTTGGGAAAGCGAAAAAACATAAACTTTCTACGATAACTAAACATATAGTTAATAAAAATCACAAAACAGTTCTTTAGTTATCAAGATAAATACTTTTAATTTTGATACTGAAATCTTTTGTCAAATCCTTTCCATTTGTCAATGAATAAGCTGACTGTACAAAACCTTAGCTAAACTCTAACAAGTCATACTTTTTTTTACATTGTTTAATTGTACCTACTGCAATAAATGACACATCACTGTATGTTTCTGCACCTCAGCCCTATAATTTACCATTGAAGAAAATAAATGACTTTATTTTTAAGAAAACATTCTTACCTGCTGGGAAACGCTCTATTGTTGGTAAGTTGTCGACTTGTAAGGTGGCATTACCCCCACTTCTCGTGAAACGTACCACGTGATACTTTCCATCATTAATAATTGCATTAACTTCTTCAATTGAGATGTCATCTGTTCCCACATTAAATTTGACTCCAATTTTTCCTTGGTGCTGGAAACAAAGAAAAAATAGCGCTAATTAGAATTTGTCTTATAAAGAATGTGAAACGCGTCAAGATGTCTTTCGTCTCTTAGGGTTTTATTTGCTGGAGCAAGTCTCTTGACATTTCACTAAGTCTGGGACATCTTGTTCACGGATAATTGATATTCTGAATCAGTTACAGTACTGTTACTGATGGATTGAATTTGTATTTTTCTCTTTGTCTTTGCAATTTACAAAAGCGAACAAAACCCTTTTTCCTGCTCCGTGGAACACATAAAAATGATGTGTGACTGAAAATATACATTTTCTGAAGCCTTCAACAAACTCAACATACTCAATAGACGTTGAAGGAAACATGCTTTTTTCAAGTGTAGGCCAGTTTTAAAGGGATTTCCATTGTTTAAGACTGCTTTCTTTCCCAATAATTTAGACCTAGAAGGAAGTAATACCTGAGAGCCCAGGAGTTCAAGTTTCAACAAAAGAATGAAGCACCTTCCACTGGTCAATCTGAGATACATATCCAATTAATAATATCTCTCTCCACCTACAAGTATATCGACCATAGGTCTTTGCTATTGTTGTTCTCAGTAAGAAGGGATACAGTGTGTGTGTGTGTGTGTGTGTGTGTGTGTGTGTGTGTGTGTGTGTATGATATGTGTAAGTAGTGTAAGTAAAGGGTGAAGGTAAAGTCTCAGGACATGGAAGTTTCCTTTAAATGGTCTATCTAACCCCAACATTACAGGTTTTGGCACAGAGTTAAATCGGCTAACACTTTCTTGTATCTCTCAGCATCTGTATTGGTGATATTTTTGTACTCAGGTTCCTGGGTCTGCACACCTGCTGTGACTTTTATGCAGAGTTCCTACGCTTGTCAGATTATTTGATATATTATGGAAAATGCAAAAGAAGTAATTGAAACACACAAAGGGGGCGGGAACACCCAAAACTCTCATGTGAACAGAAAAGCTCACTGTGGGTGTATTCAAGACGTTTAAGCCACCAGAACCTGACTCAGTCCACCAGTCTGCACTATAGCAAAAATTTCAGTTTTGAGTGCAGTGACCCTCTACATGCCAAGCTTTACTCCACCATACTTAACTTTTTGTCCGCTATTATTGTGAATTGTATGTCAGCATATGTTATCCATATATAAAAAGAGAAAAACAGAATGTTTTCAATTATTTTTAAGTATAACAATTAGGCTAAGTTCACACCTGGGCGACTCCTGACAGCGCGGCAATCGCGCACAAAACCGAACGGATTGCTGCGCGGTCACGGAGTCTCCCACAGCAGGCGATCACACTGCGGGTGCCATTATTGTCTAGTGGCACCCCAGTCGCATCGGGTGGATCGCGTGGTTTTCCGCTGTGATTTCGCCCGTGCAAGTGAACATGATCACGGCTAAAAAAAGCCATGTGTTGCAAAAAAGGTACAAAAAAAGCAACTGCTGTGTGCACTAGCACACGATCGGGTGGCCTGGGTGTCGTGCAGGTGTGAACCTAGCCTTAATGTTGAAATGGGACTACTATGTCATAATGATGTTTAAGTGATAGACTAGCTTCTTACGTTTTTTTTTTTTTTTAAACATATTCTTAGAGAGCATACAATTCGGATCATAGATAATTTCTCTGTCCTGATCATTCTTGTGGATTCTCTATAGGAACATGTCAAAAAATCACTTCATCAGGGGAGACTGGATGCTTAGCACAAATGTAAAATCCTGCTACAGCTGGCCATCAGTAAAGAAAGATCTCCTGCTGGCATCCTTGCAGCCTGTGAACATCTGGTGGAAGGCTGGACCCAGCCCCCTAGCCAAAGTGGAAAAATAAATGATATGTGGAGTTATATTTATATTCCTAGTAAGAATCACTATTTCAGATAACTGACTGGGGATATGATCACATTACAAATGTTAGTTTGTTTTCCATTTTAAAAGCAGCAATGCTCACATAACACGCAGTATGGTGCCTGCCTGGATTAACATTGGTAGGGATAATGATTTTTTTTCTTGTTTTATACAGCTGAGATGTGTTTGTAGCTATATAAAGGACCCCAATCTAAGGAAAAATAATGATTTAAGGCTATAACTGTCAGTGACTATGAACTTGGATTCAAGAGCTATGCAGATTAGTATTACAAAGAGATCAGAGACAAATAAAATGTATTTTTCTTATAATTTTTGTTAATAACAATGAAATACAAATCTCAGCATGGCATGAATCAACGCTGCAACATTACACTAATACTGTAATTCCATCTTCCGAAAAGAAAGCACACACTGAGTTCCATTTTTTGTTCTATTCCATTATACACTGAGATTCTCAGCCAACAAATGAAACAACCTAAAGAAGTGTTTGTAAAGGGCTTTAACAATCCAAGGCGCAGTTACAACACAAGTACACAGGTGTCAGTATGTAAGGAAGCAGTGGAGTTCAATTGCTAATGGATAGGGATCACATTAGGTTCCTGTCACTGCTATAGCCCCGGGTTAAAATGTAAAGTATACCAGAACTAGAATTGTTTTTAAGCAAGCCTCTGTATAAATTACTTGCTTAAAATCTATCTAAAGTACATCATAATTTTTGTTAAATATGTCATCCTGCTCTGCACATTTGTATGACACCTCACTGTAGACTGGAAATCTAAAAAAAAAGAGTAAAAAAAGAACAGACATCACCAGGAGAGGTGTGCTCAAATGTAATATTTAAGTGATGAGTGAAATTAATCACACGTATCTGTAAGAAGTATATTTAAATATTTACTCATATCTGTCAGGTTGAATGAAACCCCGGGGGATCAAACAACCAGCAGATCAGCTTGTGGACATGCTGCCTGTCTCCACTCAGACTTTTGTGCTGTACTGGTTGCTCTCAATGCTGTGTTCAGGGTAGCTATACACCTGGAATTTATCTGATCCCACTATAACATAGGATAGTTGCCCGGCACCAAAAAAGAACCATGTGTGGTTGAATCATTGGCATTCGCTCGGGGAAGGAAAAACTGCCAGAGCAACTTTCACGTTTGAAACAGTGTTTATTGGATACAGGATAAGACACCATCAATGCGTTTGTGGTAAACAACCAATTAATTTATTTAGCTCCAAAATGCTAGTTGCCCAGCTGTCTCTGGTTTCAGTGCTTCCTGGGTCACTGACCAAGGACAGGAATGCAGATAAAAAGTAATCTCCAAAAAGCAACATCCCCAAAATACGCCCCTTCCTCACCAAAGAAACTGCAAAATTACTCATCCACTCACTTGTTATATCTCGTCTTGCCTTCCACTACACAGGCTATCCCCCTTCAGTCTATCATGAATGCAGCTGCTAGACTCATTCACCTAACCACCCGTTCAGTGTCTGCAACCCTCATCTGTCAATCCCTACACTGGCTTCCACTCGCCCAAAGGATAAAATTCAAAATATTAACAATCACTTACAACGCCATCCACAACTCTGCCCCCGGCTATATCTCAAACCTTGACTCAAAGGGGTTGATTTACTAACCTTTTAAACACACCACGAACGTGTATACACCTCTGTAGTGTGTTCCCTCCCAGCATGATCTATGGGAGGAATCGAAACACCTTTGTAGTGTGTACACACCCAGCAGGTGTGTTGTTCAAAGCCCTGCAATGAATTGCAAGGTAATGTGGTGTAAATTAGCTCTATGTTATGTTGCTTGCGTTGATGAATGCAGGAATGTAAATGCATGAGCTAACCATTTTTGTCTAAACTGTGAAGCAGCATTATATATGCATCATGTGCATGATTTTTCCATATATGGCATTAGTGGAAATATGCTTTTAGAGACTTTTTGGTTGATAAATACGTTTTGCTGTGTGAAAATCACACACACCTGGTGTGTGTGTGTGTTTAGGTTAGTAAATCAACCCCAAAGTATTACCCTAACCATCCGCTCCGCTCATCCCAAGACCTCCTGCTTTTCAGCTCCCTTGTCAACTCTTCCCATGCTCGCCTCCAGGACTTCTGTAGAGTCTCTACCATCCTCTGGAACTCTTTACCCCAACCTGTCCTCCTGTCTACCACCTTGACTGCCTTTAGGCGTTCCCTAAAGACTCATCTTTTCAGGGAAGCCTATCCCACCTCAACCTAACCACTCAATGATCACGTTCTCAAACAATTCATCCACACACAGCTACCTCCTCATGTATCACTTCCCCCTCCCTTTTAGATTGTAAGCCCTCACAGGCAGGGCACTCCTTACCATCTTGTGTAGAATTGTATTGTGATTGTAATGTCTTCCTTATTTTGTAAAGCGCTGCACAAACTGTTGGCGCTATATAAATCCTGTATAATAATATATACTGTACATCAAAACTCTTAAACTATTTAGATGTTTTCGGTCAGTGATATCAGAAACTACTAAATGCAGCTCAGACTTTCCATTTTCAGAAGGAGAGGACAGCAACTGTATTCTTAATGCTTCCTCAGTAAAGGTTAAAACTTTTAAAATCCCCTTAATGCAAAGTTGTATGGTCGTTGTAAAACTCTTCATACATTTTTTAACCACAGGTCACACTAATTTTGCCTGACTGGAAAAGTTCAAAAATACTAAATCCTACAAAACACTGCATTAGCATCTGTCTGGGGTGCAAGTCGTAAATTAAAGTTAAAGTTGGGTATGCACATATCGAAATTCGTACAATGGGTGCCACTCTTGGCACACGATTGCCCAGCATACCCCGATCAGCTGATTGAAGGAGGCAGTTGGAAAAGTCTCGGTCCAAATGAAGCTAGCAACCAAGCTCCATTTGGGTATTCTGACAGCAGCTGGCGTCCGCTGACAGAATGCACTAGAAACTTTGGGGGATTCCTCAATCTAAATATATATATGTATAAAGAAAATATATATGTGTATAGCCAGCTAAAGAAACAAACCATGCAGTACCAGGGAAGGTAATGATGGGAAGTGTGGTTTATAGACTAAAAGAGAAGAAAATTAGTAACACTAGAAAAGAAACAAATGATCGGGGGTTCAGATCATTGAAAA